CTTTTTTTGCGACTTCTCGGTTTGGTGCTCAGTCGGCAATTTGCCTCTGGAGATGACAGGTGGGTGCCATACAGACACTTCTTAGTTCTAGTACGCTTATCCTTACAAGCTCTTGTTCTAGAAGCCATGGTTCATCTCGTCCACTCGCCTCTGCACTGGAAGTTGTGCTGCATCCAGGACTCCAGCCAGGACTCCAGCCAGGACTCCAGCAGCGACGATGAGAACATGCCACCGAACATTCCAAAACAACAGACCCCCGAGAGCAAGAACCCCAAAGAAGCCAACTGCGACGACAAGACCCACGATGACGCTTCCTCGACGGGTACAGCTACGCCTCCGTGGATGTTGCCGGGGTTTATGGGTTGTTACTCGAAGGGTCAGTGCATTTCGCCCCCCGTATCGCTGTCGTCGGTGGAAGCTGGGTCATCTCCTCAACGGGTTCGAGCACCCACGAGTCTTACCACTTCCTCACCCGTGCTTCTGGGAAGTACACCGCGACCTTCACCGCTGGTTGGTGCTCGCACGAAACGACTGGAACGACGTCGAGCTCGTCGTGAAGCTGCCGGTCCATACTCACGTCCTCGTAGCTCTGATGACCAAGAGGACAAACCCGCCACCAATCCTTCTGGCTCCATTAGGCCGGCAAACGCGGAACCCTGTGATCCAAAGCTGCGAACCTTCCGATCGCGAGACACGTTTGTGCCGGCTCGATGGCCTCACCACGTCGCCCAACGTCGAGAACTCTACAACCCGATGGCCACTACTTCCGGTAGTGCCTCACTTTGGATCGTGCCAGTGCTCGGAACCGTGTCGCGCTGACTCGTGCCGCAATGCCCTCATGAATCTCTACTGCAACGTTAACTGTTGCCCGTATGAAGGCATGTGCGGCAACGGGTTGAACGATTCTCCGAAGGTGTATTTGGCGCGTAGCCTGCGGACTTCTTCGCTAGGTGTCGTGGCGGTCGAGGACATTGCCGCTGGTGAGGTACTGGGTCAGTATCTCGGAGAGATCGAACACCTGAGCATGAACCGGCACAACCGTCCGCGCAACACGGGCTATCGACTTGTCCTACGAACGCGTCCAAATTGTCCAAGTCACCCGGTTCGCGTCGCCATCAACGCTGAGCGAATGGGCGGTTTAATGCGATATGTGAATCATTCCTGTGATCCTGTTGCGAAGTTTGTGGAGGTTGGGAATGATAGACGCACGACGGTTGTGGTCGTAACTACGGAGCAAGTTCGCCGAGGCGAAGAAGTCACGGCGGATTACGGCGACGACTTATGGTTTGCATGCCGCTGCTACAGCGCCTCGTGTCCTCACCGTGACATTCAAGCAAGTTGCGATCCGTGAGGAAATGGTGGAAATGCAGACCACGGTTTCTTCATATCTTCAATGCTAGTGCGTGTAGGTAAGATTACTTTGATCCTGCTATCTATTCTTGTGAATACATGAAGGTTCGGTTTAACTTGGTGAGAGATTCTGCATGAGGAATCAGTACGGGTCACGATCCAAGGTCGCGTGAACAGTCGCCGCTTCAGAGCCGTTTGTCCCTTTCACGCGAAGACTGTAGTCTCCGGGTCAACTTCAACTTCGCGCCAAAAGAGATCCACATCGCGTAGACTGATACACCAGCGTTCGGCGCCTTGGGCGTGGCGTCAAAGCGCGCGATATTTTCGCGCGTTGAAGCTCGACATAAGGGGAAGTCGTGGTTCCGTAGTTGGCTGGACGAGAAGCACTGTGCTATCTGTTGTGCGCTGCGCGCACTGAAGACTCCGTTCACTTTGACTCTCACTTTCGGATCTACTACCGAGCCAGCAAGCACTTCACAAGCACCAGCAACTTCTGCGACGAACGCACGGTACGCTTCGCTGGTTTAACGTGCTCATGCCAAGCATCACCGCTAACACTTGTAACTTGGTCTAGATGGGCAAACAAGCGGGCAGCACGAACTACCTAATGGCCGAGGTGAATCGGCTCTTAGTGCTCGTGGAGGAGCACTTGTCACTGGGGAAGGACGAGTGGGAGCGTTTGGCTGCCGACTAAAATGCAAACCGTCCTCGGTCTTGGTCCGAACGCGACTTCGACAGCCTCCGTCGCAAGTTCAAGGCAATGTACAGCATCCGCAAACCGACCGGCAAGGCGAACATGCCACATCAAGCAGGCCAAAGACTTGAAGAGAGCTGTCGACGACAAGGCTAACGTCGTCGAGATGGACGATTGTGGCGAAGATGACTCGGACGCGGATCCGGAGGACGACTTGGAAGAGGAGAAACGACCCGTCGAGCCGGACTTCAG